TGGGGGGCAATGGGGAGGGGAGTGCGTAAGAGCGAGGGGAATGGGGGCAATAGCGAGGGGAGGGTAATACTTGGGGGGGACAGAGGGGGCGTAGCAGCAAGGGAAGTGGGGGCAGTGCTGGCGCCAGCGGGGGTGCTAGTTCTATTGCCCCCCGTTTCTCGCTATCCGATTCCGGGGCTGCCCCTCAGTTTCCCCTGGGCAGAGCACAGTTGGTGTCCCCCCCCCCCCCCCCCCCCCCCCCCCCCCCCCCCAGCGCACTGCATCCTCTCCAAGGCTGGCGCAGTTGTTACAGGAACAGAACCGTTTGACACGTACAAGCGGTGTTCATGTTTTGTAAATTCCCTTTTGTAAGAACTGGAATGGCACCGCTTACAAGGAAAGAGGCAGTAGGTGAAGCCACTAATTTAGTGGTCTTTTTAGAAATCCGCACAGAAAGCGGACTTTTCCCAATCTTTGGAATTGTTTGTTAGTTATACCTCTGGATTTTTGTATTTTCATAAATATATACATCTATTTACAAATACATATATACAAAAATAATGAGCTGCATCTTTCCCATTTAAATCAGTGAAGTTACACCAGGGATGCATTTAGCTGGTTACCTTTTTTCAGTTTCACACACCCCAGCCTTTCCACCTCATTCAGTGAACAATTTGAAATGAACTTTCAGTTTTCTATACATTCACATTTGAAATGTTTCATTACTAAATTCTTATTTAGTCAAAACCATACTGTGGAAAATTGTTAAATGAAATTTCAACAATAATTATACTATGTTTCCTAGTATGGATTTGTGTGCAGTGTTAATTTGGAAGTTCTTTTAAATAAAAATACCCAGACTCCTGCTCAAAACAAGATATATGCAATGCTCTTTCAGACCCCATTCTGGCATAGATAAAAGTATGTACCTCATCAGTGACTACTAGAATAAAATGTATTTTGGCTTCCCAGGATCTTTCCTTATCATGCTTGCATTTCTCATGTGTTTGTGGTGGAGCAGGGACAAGAAAAACAGTAAAGTTTGTTTCAGAGTGGTAGCCGTGTTAGTCTGTCAGCAAAAAGAACGAGGAGTCCTTGTGGCACCTTACAGACTAACAAATTTATTTGGGCATAAGCTTTCGTGGGCTACAACCCACTTCATCGAATGTCAAACAACAGCAAAATGTTTTTTTCTAGAATGGTTCCACTGGACAACATATTTAGCTAAATTTAGATTAAATATAATTTCTTAAAACATACAATACCACAGCATGATAGCAAAAATATATTCCTACCCAACCAAAACAGGTAGATTTGATTTTTCAAAGACTGGTGGAACTCTGTCCTATGGTCTCTATTCTGACCTTTCATACTCTCACAAATAGGTCTTTGTATTCACAATACAACTTGTAGAGGGCCAAAGGGTGCCTGCTATAAGTCCCCCCCTCCTTTTTTTTTCACTGTATAACACTTCTTACAATTAGGAGTTTTAAAATTAATGTATGGAAATGGGGAAAAAACATTCCTTCTCTTAGTATGAAAGGGCCAGATCATGCTCTTCAACTGTCTATGCCACAATATTTTTTAAATTAAAGTTTCACAATGTTGCTGCCATAACAGTGGTGGGAGTGCTACTGTAGGCAATGCTCCGAAGACTGCTGCCATTTTAAGCAGTGTGTTGTGTTCAAGCTGCTCAGTGCATGTCTGCACAACATGGTGGTTAAAATGATAGTGGATGCCAATGCTTTTGGGCAAAGATCATCTCATTGTCTGTGTTTGCACAGCGCCCAGCACAGTGGGGTCTTGGTTCATGACTGGAGCTACTAGGTGTTACTGCAATACAAATAAATAGTAGTACTGTAATAATAATAATACATTAGCACTCCCACTGTTGCTGTCTTTGATGATTCTGTACCAGTGGTAACAACCCCATGACATTTTTAGGGGGGGAAATGTAGACATGATGTGCCCTGTGACAACCCGTAAGAGGCAACAGATAACTCAAATTTAAATGAATGGAGTTTCTAACATGTAGTGCTGTCGGGGGGAAAAGGGGCAGAGGGGGAATTGCCCACATTCAAAGAGAGCAATAGGTGTAGCCTTTCCAGTGAATTGATATCCGCCTGGCCCCTTCGAATCATAGGACTGGAAGGGACTTTGAGAGGTCATCTAGTTTAGTCCCCTGCACTCATAGCAAGTTTGTCTAACCTGCTCTTAAAAATCTCCAATGATGGAGATTCCATAATTTCCCTAGGCAATTTATTCCAGTGCTTAACCACCCTGACAGTTAGGAGGTTTTTCCTAATGTCCAACCTAAACTGCCTTTGCTGTAATTTAAGCCCATTGCTTCTTGTCCTGTCCTCAGAGATTAAGGCGAACAGTTTTTCTCCCTCCTCCTTGTAACAACCACCAAGCACAGTTCTATCAGGAGCAAACTAGATAGAATATTAAGTAGAATGCTACTGCTTAAGTTGTCCTAGCATATAGAGCCACTCAGAAATGTCAAGCATTACAAAGATCATGATTGAAAAGCCATTTTCTAGTAGATTAGGTCCAAGATTTGACCTACATTAAACCACAATACATTTAAGCACAGATTCAGTACAGTTCATCCTGTGATTTCAAGAACTGACCAACGTGCTGTGGCCTGGAAGAAGGCCTTCAGAAGTAGGGCTGTGCCTTGGCCTGGTTCCAGATGGTGTCTATGTGCAACTGGAATGGTCAGAAGAAGTTTCTATATTAAAAACAGTAGGAAAAGGAAATGTCTTCCCTACTATTTTCTCTAGTCTTGAAAAAGGAACTACTTTCCAGTATGGAAGGATACAAAACTCACATCAGTCCCCTGCTCTGGTTATCCTCTAGGTTCTACCACAATGTAAACATTAAATAATAATAATTTGAGCCTGTGCAAGCCATGGTCCCGGAAAAGCTGAGAGAGTATCAACTAAGATGGCTGGGTCACGTGAGACAATGAGATGCAGACATGTTGGCCAGAGAGTACAAGATCTAGTAGTCATGGGAAGACCAAGAAAAAGGTGGTTTGAGATGGTGAAGGAGTACATGAAGAAGGTTGGTGTCAGCTTGGAAGATACACACAACAAGAACA